TCATTTCCGACATAGTTTGGTAATTATTTAGTTTTCAAAATTAATATGAAAAGCAAGTCAAAAACCAAGGGACCGCAATTAGGGATTAGGGTTGGTATGGCTGTTTTGTATTATCCTATTTTGATTATGCTTCAATGAGAGTAGTTAGAAAATGGCAAAGCTCTTTCATATATATGTATATCTAAGTATATATGATTGTGTCTGCGTAATTAATAAATGGAGTGGTTAAGCAATGGTCATATTCTTCCAAAATTACATCTCACCTCATGCATATGCATTAGTTTTGGCATCACACTAAAATTCATAAATACCAAAATAAAATATATTAACTTAATGAAATTTTTCTGTTATTTTATTTTAATATTTTTTGCGTGTATATATAAAAAATATAATAATAATATACAGTCTTGTGGATTATTAATTGGGTTAATTTGCCAAATAACTATAAAAAAAATATCTAAAGAGATAGCAAAAAACTCTAGATCTAAAGGATAGGAATTTGCCACATAGAATAGTTTTAGTTAAATTTTAAAATACCATTTTTTTTTGGGTTATTTGACCCAATTTCCATTATTAATTAACTATTACATGAAAAAGTCTTTAAACTTTCGGGAGATTTTGTGGGTGACGGCTTGATGTCACGTGTCTGTTTGTTATTGGGTACTTTACGTGTGTGAAAAGTATGGAGCGCGCCAACACAAAATAGCAAAGTAATCCTATGTGTCACGCAATGATTGGAGAGAATACCTAGCATGTTAACTAAGAATCGTTCGTAATGAAGCATATATAAATTCACACTACGATCAATTCATATTCTTCAGAAAAACCCTAGCAAACTATTCTTCTATAAAAAAAAAAAAGTGATCGAAGAATAGTTCCGAACAACGAAGATGACGAACAAAGCTCTTGCGTATTTGTTCTTTCTGATTGCTGCTTCAGGTAGTAAGTAACTCATAATCAATCTTCTAGAATGTTTCTCTTTTTTATGTGAACTTCCTTTGTCATCGATTACTCGATTTTGCGAGATCTGAATGCTTAATTATGTGTGCTAATAAAAGTGTAATGATTGTTTATGAATCGTGCAGCTTTGACGTCAAGTGAAGTAACAAAAGGCGAAGAACAGAAACTTGGGACGGTGATAGGGATCGATCTAGGGACTACATATTCATGTGTTGGTGTGTACCGTAACAAACACGTTGAAATCATAGCAAACGATCAAGGAAACAGAATCACACCATCTTGGGTTGCATTCACTGATTCCAACGTCTCATAGGCGAGGCTGCTAAGAATCAAGCAACCAAGAACCCGGAGGGGACCATCTTCGACCCAAAACGTCTAATGGGAAGACAGTAAGTGTTTAAGTAGTCTCCTAGTGTGTAGTTCAGTCTATAATCTTGAGCTTTTTATTCATGTTTTTGTGTGTATTGTATAATTACAGATTTGACGATCCTGATGTACAAAGGGATATCAAATTCTTACCGTACAAGGTTGTTAACAAAGATGGAAAGCCTTACATTCAAGTGAAGGTTAAAGGCGAAAAGAAAGTGTTTAGTCCTGAAGAAATAAGTGCTATGATACTAACAAAGATGAAGGAGACAGCTGAAGCTTACTTGGGAAAGAAGATAAAAGATGCGGTCATTACGGTTCCAGGTTTGTCTTAATACAACTTTCTAACTATGTATGCTACATTCACTTCTTGATTTGTTGTATTGCTTAATTTGGTTGTTTTGCGTAGCGTATTTTAATGATGCGCAAAGGCAAGCCACAAAAGATGCTGGAGCAATCGCGGGGCTTAACGTGGTTCGTATAATCAACGAGCCAACGGGTGCAGCCATAGCTTATGGTTTAGACAAAAAAGGTGGGGAGTCAAATATCCTCGTATATGATCTTGGTGGAGGAACATTCGATGTTAGTATCCTTACCATAGACAATGGGGTCTTTGAAGTTTTATCCACAAGTGGAGACACTCACTTAGGTGGTGAAGATTTTGACCACAGAGTAATGGACTATTTCATCAAACTGATCAAGAAGAAGTATAACAAAGACATAAGCAAGGATCACAAAGCGCTTGGTAAACTCAGGCGTGAATGCGAGCGTGCGAAACGAGCTTTGAGCAACCAACACCAAGTCCGCGTTGAGATTGAGTCACTCTTCAATGGAGTTGATTTCTCTGAACCTTTAACGAAAGCAAGATTCGAGGAACTAAACATGGATTTGTTCAAAAGGACGATGGAGCCAGTGAAGAAGGCTCTTAAAGATGCGGGGTTGAAGAAATCTGATATCGACGAGATTGTTCTTGTTGGAGGAAGCACAAGAATCCCTAAAGTTCAGGAGTTGCTAAAAGATTTCTTCGATGGCAAGGAACTTAACAAAGGGACTAACCCTGATGAGGCCGTGGCGTACGGCGCCGCGGTCCAAGGTGGGGTATTAAGTGGTGAAGGTGGAGAAGAAACCCAAAGTAAGTGACTCTATTAATCATAGTGGTTTGGTAGTTGAAGATTCATTTACCGTACTTTTATGTTAGTCATTGTAGACATTTTAAGTTGTAAAAAACCTAATTTCATTGTGAAAACAGATCTATTGCTGCTTGACGTTTCGCCGTTGAGCCTTGGTATCGAGACAGTAGGAGGCGTGATGACAAAGGTTATTCCGAGGAACACGGCGATCCCGACGAAGAAGTCTCAAGTTTTCACAACTTACGAGGATCAACAAACAAGTGTAACCATCAAGGTCTATGAAGGCGAGAGAAGCATGACTAAAGATAACCGTGAGCTCGGAACATTCGACCTCACAGGAATTCTTCCTGCACCCAGGTAAATCCTGATTCAATCTTTGGCTTTATAAAACCGGTTTCGGTTTTAGCTCTGTTCTTGGTTACTTAAGACGCAAGAAACCAATATACATTTTCAGGGGAGTGCCACAGATTGAGGTGACTTTCGAAGTAGACGCAAATGGGATTCTACAGGTGAAGGCTGAAGACAAAGTTGCAAAGACATCACAGACGATTACTATATCGAACGATAAAGGTCGTTTGACTCAAGAAGAGATCGACGAAATGATTAGAGAAGCAGAGGAATTTGCTGAGGAAGATAGGATTGCAAAGGAGAAGATTGATGCCAAGAACAAGCTCGAAACGTATGTTTACAACATGAAGAGTACAATGGCCGATAAGGAGAAGCTTGCGGAGAAGATAAGCGAAGAGGATAAAGAGAAGATAGAGGAGGTTCTGAAGGAGACGTTGGAGTGGTTAGAGGAGAATGTGAATGCAGAGAAGGATGATTACGAGGAGAAATTGAAGGATGTGGAATCGGTTTGTAACCCGGTTATTAAATCGGTTTACGAGAAAACCAGTGAAGAGGATGGTGAAGATGGTCATGATGAGTTATAGAGTCAGGTGGTTAAAGGATGTTTGAGTCGGTTGTTGACCGGTTTAGAGATGTG